TATTTTTATTTTATTAGTCATTTTGTTGTGCTTTTAAAATACTTTTTAGGTTTAATTAGGTTTGTTTATTTCAGTTTTAGTGTTTTTTATAAGTATAAGTAATGTCAGTGCTTTAAGTACAGGTTGCCCACAAGGCTGTGTCCTTTCCCCTGTGCTCTTCTCTCTTTTTACTAATAAGTTTACGATTAAAGAAGAACATTTTAGATTGTTCAAATACGCTGATGATATGGCCTTAGTGGGCCAATTGGACAAAACTAATTTGTTATATGACGCTGTCTATCTCTGGCTCACATTGAGGCCCTGGAGAATTGGTGTCATCTTAGCCAACTAGAAATTAACGTGGCAAAGACAGAAGAATTGATGATCTGCCCAAAAGCAGATATGTCAATCCAGCCAATTTCACTTGTGGGTCAACAAGTTGAAATTGTGAAGAAGTTTAAATATCTAGGTTCAATTCTTGATTCACACATGAACTTTGCTGATAATTCAGACTAGCTTTTTAAACAAAAATGTACACAAAAATTCGTCCCATAGGGTCTCATTCATGAAACACGAGCAGAATGAATTTTTGTGTAAATCGTGTGTAAAGTGGTTCTGGCGTAAATCTTCGGATTCATTAAAATGTTCGTATTTTCCAAATGTTAGTTGGTAGGAAAGAAATCTACACCTGCTCCAGCCACGCGTAAACAGTGCGTTTAACATCTGAACGTTTTGCTCATTAATAACTAAAGCTGCATTTTAATTCCCCTTAATCAGGTACATATTTACACAGCATTTTGAACAAATATTATATATAGTAATTACATACGGTTTTTCTTTTTACTTCTGGGACTGTTTGATTAACAGATGAAACTCCATTAACTGCATCTGTTATGCTGCTACAGGACCCGATACGCCACTATGTATGCTTGAAAATAAAATGTGGTGTTTTGAATGAACTTCTGATAATAAAACTTCGATTTCTCCATCTGAGAAATTTTTCTTTTTCATTCGCTTTTGAGAAAACATTTTGAAATCCTTCGTTTGGTGTCATAATATGATGCCCATATGTAGTTGTCAGTCGGATTTAATGGGCGGGATTTATGGTAATTGAGAATGAGCGTGCACGCGCGTCCCATTTACGACTGATTGGAATTCATTAACACACACACTAGGGGTGTCCCCGACTAAGGATTTTCATAGTCGAATCAGATTCGTCAAGTCCTGCCTATAGTCGACTAATAGGGCGGGGCTTTAACATTTTAAGGCCGCGATGTACAGAACATCACACAAAGACATAGAAGAAAATGTATAAAAACATTTTGGATCAATAAAACTAAGAAATAACATAAATAACTGCAGAAAGGCCACACTGCAGATAGGATTAGCATTTCACATGCAAATCAAATTAAATCAGCTGAATTTCCTGTACGAGCATGCTCTATTAGGCCTACAGCTCAACATCATGCACTGAAAAATAATCAACAATTAAGAACACAATATACATTTATAATAAATAAAAATACAAAACTAAATAAGTCAGAATCAAGTCACAAGAAGCAGAACAAATGTGTGCAAAATGCCTAAAGTGCAGGGGAACAAATATTCAAAACACAAGTCACAAATAGTTAAATTAGATCACTCTGAGTGATCAATTAATAAAATAAAAATAAAGAAATTATTAAAATAACGAAAGTATGGCCAGGATTGTCAACTTTGTCTTTTTAACTGCAGAAACAACAATAAACGCTAAACTGGAGCGGCAGTCTTTAGCTAAACGTGTTCACAGTATCCAAAAATCAAAGTAAAACTGGCTGAAATGTTTTGAAATCACTTGTACCCAGGGGCGTAGCAGCCATTATAAAAGTGGGGGGGACAAAATGGTGTGGTGATGTGACCCAAAGGTCAGTCCTTCCAGAAAAATGCGGAGTCTTTTTGTGATTGTTGCGGGCAAAAGTCCTTGATTATGCGGTGATGGAATATGCAGGATATTTGCAATTTTATGTGATGAAATTGCGGGAACTTGCAAAAACTGCGGTTTGATGAAAAAGAGATTCCCCAACACCCTGTTCTCACTAGGCTACTACCTTAAATGTAAAGAGCTATTTCTTATTACTTCCTATGATAAGCAAACATACTACATCACAGAAAGTGCTGGAATATTTAATCTTGTTTTATTTCAGACCTTAATAAACACATCAAACTTACAAAACATTGATGAGTCAAACAAGTTCTGTAGCTTTACAAAAGGAATATGCTACAACTTCTGTAAAAATGAATAAATAAAATATGAAAAAAATGTTTCCTGTTTTACAGCTTTTTTTTTCCTTTTTTTTTTCAATGATGTTCATGTCGAGTAATTACGTCACTTCATAACGTTCCCATGGCAACCGGGGGAAACGGCTGGTCTCGTGTGAAGCAAACGCAATATTTTTCAACTTTCTGCTAAGATATATGTGACTTTTTTTTGCAACAAAAAAATGTTGAGGGGATTATGAAATCATACAATTGAATCGCATGATTCAATACATTGAATCATGCGATCGCATAATCGCGCTTTTCTGGAGGGACTGAAAGGTGATGTTCATAATAATAAATTCTAGATGGAATAGCAATTGGCATTTTACAGCACCCTAGTGCCAATTTTGGGAACATGCCATGATAGTTTACAGCAACCTATTTTTGTGAAATTACTCGAAATAAAAAAATATTGCAGGACTTGGGACTTTCAGACAACTGTGGACATATATACTTTATGTTTATGAAATAAAGATATTTTATGATATTTACAATATTTCAGTTAAACTACACTTGAACAATAACTTTTATCTTACTTCTTAACAGTTGGACCAAAAAAAAAAGTGTTCAATGAGTACAGAACAGATTACATCTAGCCTACAGTAATTTTATACAACAGACATTATAAAAATATATCAATAAAACCTAAATCAATGTATTCGGTATTGGACATCAATTTAACATTGACATGTTGAATTTACATTGAATTTTGGTCACCCGACGTCGCAACCAAAATTTAACCAAATATCAACGTCTTATGATGTTGTGTGCCTGCTGGGAATAATCTGTTATGTCTCATTTAACAGACGCTTTTATCCAAAGCAACAAGTAGGAGAGCATTTAACACACACTCGGCACAATCCGGCGCGACGTGACGAGGCCATACGGGTTCTGTTGTCTACACTTCTTACAGCGTTACAGTAGGTTAAATCATAACAAGGAAACTTCACGTGTGATTCATGTCATCGCGACATACTGTAACAGTGTGTGTTTGAAAAAAAATGATGTAGTCCTCTGCTTTTTTTCTGGGGTGCATTAGACGGCCAAACAGCAAAGCGACTAAACAAACAGGAAAATTCGCAAGAGCAACAAAAGATTTGAAGCTCATGGCAGACGCGCCCAATAGATGCTTCGCGCTGTGATTGGCTGAATGTGAGCTCACTCAAGTCTAAAGCCTGTTTTATGCTTCTGCGTCGAATCGACGGCGTACCCCCGCAGAGCCCTCTGCGTCGCCGCGAACCCCTCTCCGACCCCTCCGCCGTAGCTCGACGTGCACCTCCAAAAAATTGTAACTACGCGTCGAGGCGACGCAGACCGCAAGGGCTGTGATTGGTCAGATTATACATCATTTCGGGAGTGTAGCTTTTCCGGTTTCCCCCTCCCGCTATACCGCCATTTTTAAAGTGCGCAGTTTGTTTCAACGATGTATCAAATTGAGGAACGATTAAATCACTTCTGCGATTAAACATTTGCAATAAAATAATTTGTTGTTCAACGTTGATTAGTTCCAGCTGCAACAACATTCTCTCTCTTTCGCTCGCCATTACGCGCGTTTCCATTACAGATTTGCGCAAAACTTTTGCCTTTTTTTCTAAATGTCGATAAAAAACTATTGCCAAATGACCGATGTTATGCGACTAAACGTCTTTTTTTCCATAATCATTCCAAAAATCATGGCAACGGACGTTGGTAGCCACCGCACTAGACATTATTATTATTAATGGAAGGAGACGCATTAATGGCATTAATGGCAGGGAAAGACACGGAGTTCTCCCTCATTTCAGCTCCGAGGTCTTGATTGTGGCATTTCTTTGAGGTTTAGAGTCCAGTAGGCTATTCCTGTAATTATTGTTTCTTTTATGAATTTTATGAATCCATTCGTTTTACCTTATTTAACCCGTAATTGCAAAACGAAAAATGAACGGTTGTTGTATTTTTGAAACGCAAAGTTGAACACCAAAATTTAAATTTGAACTGTACACCAAATGCTGAAAAAAAAAAATATCAACGAATAATCAGATAGGCCTAATTGTTTGATTTTTTTGCCCCTTTATTAAAAATTTAAAA